TTTTAAAAAATAAGATAAATAAATACTAACTCCATTAGTTATAATAAAAATATATTAAGATTTTTTTTTAATTTTAAATTATACAACCAAAAGACTCTTTTGCAATTTTTTATCTACTCCACTGCTACACTGTACCGTTTTAAAATTTTAATATAAAAAATTATTATATAATTTAAATTATACCATTATATTATATGAAAGGTGGACTCTCACACTAAGGTTCTTATACCATTCAATTACCAACAAACTGAGATCCAGTTCTTTGGATTCAAGGGGTTTGTCCCCAAACTCTTTAAGTGTTTGGACAAAATATGAAATATATATATATATATAAATTAGTGTATATTAATATCTAACTCTTAAAAAAATTAAAATCTTTATATATATTTAGAAAATGAAATTTTAATTTAAAATTTAAAATTTTAATTAATTTCTAATAAGATAAATTTTTAAATTTTAAATTAAGTTTTATTTAAATAAAAGAACGTAATTTGAGATAAAAACTCACATTTTTTTTAGAATCAAGATTAATATATTTTTTTATATAAATATATAAATATATATATATATATACACACACACTATTGTCCGGTAGAATGTTGGTGCGATTTTAAAGTTTGGGGTTTTTTCACTGTGTCTTTAGGTAAAGTTTAAGAATTTTTTTATCATAAATATAAATAAAAAAAATATAAAATTGATATTAATTTTAATATTAATATTAAATAAATAAATTTAATTGAATAATAAATAAAAAAATTACTTTTTATTTTTAAATATTAATTTATAATAAAAATTATATTTATTATACTGTTAAAGTCTAACCAGAGTTTTTCAAAATTTTTTGAATTTTTTAAAAGTGCAAATTAAATCTCATTAATTATAATATTTATAATTAATATTACATAAATTTTTATATAAAATTTAAATATAAAATAATATTTATACACAAAATATAAAAAAAATTATAAACTTAATATAAAATTAATTAAAAATATCATAACCAATAAATTTTAGCATATGCCTTATAGTATAAAGACAAACCCATTTTTTTTCGTCGGCTAAATATGCAAATGTATTAATGACGAAAAAGAGAGCCCCAAAAGCGCATCCTAAGAGATAAAAGGTCAATAATACATCCCAAAGGGACACAGTTTTTTTTTTTTTTTTTTTTTTTTCTAAATTTAAATTTGAATGCATGTTTTCCAGTTCTTCACTACTAACGCGTATAATAACTCCCCATATAATAACTCCCAATTAATTGCAAGGATTGACCCTTGAATTTGATACCTTTCATCCATTATTATGTTCCAGTTCTTGGATGCTATTGTCTACAAATGTTAGTGAATATACCTACTTTCATGTATAATTTCCATATATATATATATATATATATATATACATATAAAGTTGAAGTTCAATTGTTTGTTCTCTTCCCTTTTGTTTCATCCTATGAGGGAGAAAGCCGGTTTGGATTAAAAGACTTTCTTTTGTATACAGAAATGGAAAATAATTGAAGGATAAATTGTTATGTGTTTTGTGCCGTTAGGATACATATTAGCTATCTCTTAATTACATATTTTATAATTAATTTATATAAAAAAATAAAAATTAATTTTAAATTTATTAATTATCTTATTAAAATCATCTAATGATACCAATGTTAAAATAATGACTATTTTTATATATTTTAAAAAAGTTTATTAAAAAATATGTAATTAATGCATCTTTTAAAAAATATTTTTATATAATTTTATGTTATTTAATAATTAACTTTTTATTTACTCTATCCAACATATATTTACTCTTTTAATAATATACAAAAATTGTAAATAAAAATTACATAAAAATATTGTGAGCATATCATTACTTAATAGAAAAACCACAGATGCTTCTAAAATAAACTTGTTTAATTAGTATAATTTCTTCTCGTCTGACAAAATACAATGCTAGTGCTAGGTAGATTAAAAAAACCAAAAGAATGAGAAAAAGTTCAATTTAACCCTTCTACTATGGAATCACCTCAGGTCGTCCCTCTACTTCATTTTGAGCTCACATGTCCTCTCTCTATTATTCAAAAATCGATCAGTTTCATCCCTCCATCCATTCCATAGAGACAACCTTTTTATACCATATTTTTATATAATTTTCACGTGTCATTAAATGAGTAAGTGTATTCAATATCACTAATTTCACATGAATTAAAAAAATCAATCATTTTAATAACATATCATATTGTAAAAAAAATTAGACAAAAAATTATGCAAAAATCATTTTCCTATTTCTAGATTATTCTTGTCTTCAATTTGGCTATAATAGGACCCACCAATGTCACATCATACTCCATATTAATATCTTTCTACATAAATATTTTATCAATTTTTTTCAACTATTAGCTACATTTATCTATCTCTTTTTATCAATTTTTTAGTTGAGTCAATTAAATGGATATTTTTTTCAAACTATGTAGGCAATCATGTCAATTTATTTATTTTTTTTAAGAAATAGACAAAAAATTTGAATTTTGTTAAGGTTTAAAAAAATTATAACTAAAAAAAAAAAAGTCATAATGCCTATTACTATTTCTTTACCTATAAGCTTTGGATGGTTTAAGGTAAACTCACAATTTGTTATTCTATTCATGTGCATAAATAGGCTAAGCAAGTGCATTACTGAAGTATTTGTTTATATTTGTATTTAATTTGAAAATTAATAGATATAAAATTTTGATACTTAATATTTATTTAAGTATTAAAAGTTTATTTTTATTATTCAACTCACTTAATACAGGTATACTTTCAAATATATTTATATATTTATTAAATATTATAACCTTTTAATATAAATTAAAATATAATTAAATCTATTGTCAAACATATACTTTAATTAATACATAATATATAAATATAAATTTCTTTGAATATACTAATTCAATGCGAGGGATGTACTTTTAAAAAATATACTTTTCTTTCTTGAATTATAAAAAACAATTATTGTTTTAAGACAGATTCAAAAAATATTTGTCTCCTAAAATAAATAAATAAAAGTTGACATATATATATATATAATAAAGCACTACATCCTTAATTAATATCTTTTACTACCTTTTGTGTTTTATTCCAACTTAATTATGTTTTTTATTATAAGTATAAAATCATATATTTTTATGTATATGTATTATTTTTTTATATTTATAGTCAAGATGTTTCCAAACCAACTTTCTTGCATTTCGAGACTAATCCTTATTTGGGTTATTTTAAGGATATACCTCTCACATCAAATTAATACATTCAAGAAACTTACATTTTTATATAATGTATGAACTAAAGTATATGTTTTACAATAAATTTAATTATATTTTAATTTGTATTGAAAAATTAAAATATTCAACAAATATATAAGTACAAAACAAGTATATAAGTACAACAACGAGTATACCTATACTCAACAAGTTGAATAATAAAAATAAACTTTTAATATCTAAATAAATATTGAGTATTAAAATTTTAAATCTACTAATTTTTAAATTAAATACAAATATAGACAAATATTTTACTTATGTACTTGCTTAGGCAATTTATATACATAAATAAAATTGCAAATTGTTAACTCACTTTAGACCACCCAAAATTTACAATTCAAAGGATAGTAATAGGTATTAAGAAATTTTCTTTTTCTAGTTATAAAATTTTAAAAACATAATAAAATTCAAAATTTTTTTATCTATTTCTTTTCTTAAAAAAAAAAAAAAGTTTACTTGATTACATACCATAATTTTGAAAAATATCCCTTTGATTAACTCAACTAAAAAGTTATTAAAAAAAGATAAATAAACATGGCTAATAATTGAAGAAAAAAAGTTGGTAAAATTTTCCTGTAAAAAGATATTAATATGGAGTATGATGTGGGATTGGTGGGTTGTATTATAGTTAAATGGAAAAAAAGAATAATATAGAAATATATGTTAAATGCCAAACCGTTAGGCTTTGACGGTATAAGCGACGGTGTTAGCCATGGAATAGATGGAGGGATGAAATTGATCACTTTTTGAATAGTAGAGGAAGGATATGTGAGCTCAAAATGAAGTAGAGGGACAACCTGAGGTGATTCCATGGTGGAAGGGTTAAATTAAACTTCAAAAAGTAGAACCCGATTAAAAAAACCAAAAGAATGAGAAACATCCAAGATCATTACATTGAAAGCAAGTCAAAGAAAATTGGAGAACAGAATTATTTTGGTGAGCCCAGTGGAGCTTTATCCACGCCCATTTCAGAGTTGAAACTACAAACCGGTGGTTGTGTCTGAAGTGGGTTATAGTGTGAAGTGGCCTTCAATCACAATCTGTGATCCCCATGTGACCTCAGACCTCTCTCTTAAAATACCCAATTTCTTCTTTACAGCTCAACACCCTCACAATCTTCCCTTTTTCCCTCCCCAGTTAACCATCTTAACAAAACTAAAATGCACCTTCTGTCAACAATTTACTATTTTGATCCGCAGAAATCAAAGTTCTCTTTTATGGCAAAATTTTTCTGGGTTTTCGTTTTCCTCTCCACCCCAGTGTTCTCCCAGGTAAACCAGCTCTACTTTGATGGATTTAAGGGTGCAGGTAGCAATATGAGTCTGAATGGTGCTGCAGAGGTTGAAGACAATGGCGTAATTCGACTAACAAATGACACTTTTCGCTTAATTGGTCATGCTTTCTACTCCTCTCCCATCAAATTCAAGAGCTCCACCGATGGCAAAGCTTTCTCCTTTTCCACAGCTTTTGCTTTCGCCATGGTTCCTCAGTACCCGCAGCTCGGTGGTCACGGTCTTGCTTTCACCATCTCTCCTTCCAAAGAGCTCGCAGGCGCTCTTCCCAGCCAGTACCTCGGCCTTCTCAATGCAAGCGATAATGGGAATTTCTCTAATCATGTTTTTGCAGTCGAGTTTGATACTGTCCAAGATTTTGAGTTCGGGGACATCAATGATAACCATGTGGGGATTGATCTCAATAGCTTGACATCCAATGTTTCTACTGCTGCGGCTTATTTACTCGAAAATTCAACGAGGGAATTGCTGAATTTGAAAGGTGGAAAGGTGATTCAAGCCTGGATTGACTATGATTCTGTAAAAAGTCAATTGGATGTAAAGCTTTCTCCTTTCTCCGAGAAACCTAAGTTTTCTCTGATATCCCTTGAGGTAGATCTCTCCCCATTTCTCTTGGATACTATGTATGTGGGGTTTTCTGCTTCCACGGGTTTGCTTGCTGGTTCTCACTATCTCCTGGGTTGGAGTTTCAACATGAGTGGTGAAGCCAAGTCTCTGTTTCTGCCTGCTCTGCCTTCTCTTCCTGGACCCAGAAAGAACCAGACTCTGTTAGTTGTTCTTGTTACTGCTTCATCTGCCCTTGTGATGATTTTCGCCATTGCCGTATCAATTTACCTCATCAGGAAGATTAAAGACGCGGACAAAATTGAAGCTTGGGAACTGGATGTTGGTCCTCACAGATTCTCTTACCAGGAACTCAAGAAAGCGACGAAGGGTTTCAGAGACAAAGAGATTCTTGGGTTTGGTGGATTTGGGAGAGTTTATAAAGGAATTTTACCGAATACAAATACCGAAGTTGCTGTCAAGCGGATTTCGCATGGATCGAAACAGGGCATGAGGGAATTTGTGTCGGAGATTGGGAGCATCGGTCGGCTTCGTCACCGGAATCTTGTTCAGCTTCTGGGATGGTGTCGGCGGCGAGGGGATCTGTTGCTTGTTTATGATTTTATGCCTAATGGGAGCTTGGACAAGCGCCTGTTTGACGAACCCAAAAGTGTTCTGAGTTGGGAACAGAGGTTCAAGGTCATCAAAGACGTGGCTTCAGGGCTTCTGTATCTTCACGAAGAATGGGAACAGACGGTGATTCATAGGGACATCAAGGCTGGAAATGTGTTGCTGGATTCTGAACTAAATGGGCGACTTGGTGACTTTGGTCTTGCCAAGTTGTACGAGCATGGCGCGACCCCTAGCACCACCAGAGTGGTGGGCACATTGGGGTACTTGGCACCGGAGCTTACACGGACCGGCAAGCCTACAAGGAGCTCAGACGTGTTTGCATTTGGTGCACTTTTGCTTGAAGTTGTTTGTGGGAGGAGACCTATTGAGCCCAAGGCATTGCCAGAGGAGCTCATTCTGTTGGACTGGGTGTGGGAGATGTGGCAGAGCGGTGCGGTTCTTGATATGGTGGACCGTAAATTGAACGGCCAATTCGATGAGCTTGAGGCTGTTGTGGTGGTAAAACTAGGGTTAATGTGCTCAAACAATGCGCCAGAAGCAAGGCCAACCATGAGGCAGGTAGTGAGGTACTTGGAAGGAGAGCTGAGATTGCCTGAAACAATAGAGGCACCTGATGGATACGAAGGGAAGGGTAGTGCTAGCTGCGGCACTGGCTTTGAAGATTTTCTGCATTCTTATCCAATTTCATCATTTATGGAGAAGGTGAGCATGGTATCATCTGCCGGAGATGGTGAGGATGTTGATATTGAAGCAGGTGCAACATCACCTCTCTCACATTCAGTTTCTGATAGAGGTTGATGAAAGGTGGCCATGGCACCTGAATTTTTCGAGTTTGTTGGAATTTTTCTGTTACATGGTAATGGTTAGTTTAATCACATTGTAAGTAAGTAGAAAGTAGAAAGATGTCCATGTTTCATTGTGTAGCATGTAAATTTTCAGGAAAAATTGCTGTTTCATTCACTAGTGCAGAGGGAAATGCAGAAGTGATCAAATTTTCCAGATTGCCACAAATGAGTATATAGAACGTACCTTACCCAAAGAAACGAACTATAATTAAATCAGAAGAGTTTCACTCATTTAACTTGTCTGCATTGTGCTCTTCCCAAACCTTAGTTATCTGCCAACGACTTCGCCATCATAGATTAATATATTGCAGGCTTTTCAGCATCAATGATGTTGCAGTTTAACAAAATTTGTATGGCCGGATGGTCCGTTGTCCACATGACATAATCAAGTTTCTAGGTATGCTCGCTCTAGTCATCACTCATGATCAAGGAGGAACTCTGCGAAATTCAAACCAATGATGTTTCGTTTGATAGTGATGTGTTGTACTAAGCTCTAATATTCTTGTAAGGGTTGGTTTTTTTTTTTTTTTGTCTTGTTCTTTTTTTATTTAAAAATTATATAAAATACTAATTAAAATTATTAAAAATATATAAAATATTATTTTAAATTAATTATTTATAATAAATTTACATTTTTAAATAATGTATCCTGACAAAAAGTGCAGGAGTGCTACATGCAACTCTTCAAATAAAACTTAAGGGTGCATTTGAAATTATAATCGAAAATTATTTTAGTATTTGATTATTTATTTTTTAAAAGTATTATAGATGACATATGATAAATTTTATTAATTATTATGTTTAAATAAAATACTATAAGTTGTGATATAATTGAATTAAATGAGATTGAGTTTTAATAAATAATTTTGTAATTATATTACATACTAGATATTATTTATAAAAGTCATAATAAAAAAATTTTAAAATGAAAATTTTAATTATATATATAATTATTATAAGTTAACTGTAATCTTTTATAGTTTTTAAAAAAATTAATTTGAAAAAAATTACTAAACACGTATATAAAAATATTATACAATTACAATTACAAGAAAAAACTCCGACTGCAACTGGAATTGCACCCCTCACTTTTAGAACAGTTTGCAAACTACAAACCGGATTTGTTTAGAATCTATCTTTTAAGATGGCAAGGGGTAGGACATTTCTTGTTCAAGATGAAAAATCAGCCAACAGTCAGTACAATTACATTGACATTCCTGCAGTTCAATTCCAAGCTTAGTTATGAACTTACAAGTGAACTTGGAATTATGAAATTGCAATAGGAATAACATTCATTATTCTTCCGTTCATTTTCCGCATACAATCCATTCATATTCCCCCATGTCTGAAAAGAGAGAGGCAGCACCAAGCCACCACTCGATACAAAACCATGCATCAATGACAATGCAAGATAACTCCAGAAACAACATGCTCTGCAAGACAGCAACCACATCTTGAGCCCTCCACTGTTCTCCCCTCAATTCTCTTATGCTAACAATATGGTCTAAGGCAAACATTTCACTCATCATCCCTTATATCAAAAACTTCATAATCATCAAATCCTGCATTACCAAAAGGAAAACAAGCTATTTAAATAAAAGGGGGAAAACCTTGCTTGATTCTTTCGTTATATTCAATAGACGGTAATTACCTGCACCCAACTCATCAACATCATCAACTGGAGGTCCTAAGTGCATTGTGTTCACTGCCACCTGATCGAGCACCATCCAATCTGAATTACTAAACTCTTCAAAGTATACGTCACTCCTTACCCATTCTTCCAAAACAGACATGGCATCAAATGATATGGGATCCAAATAATTATGTTGATTTTTGTCTTCACAAGCTCTGTTATGACATTAGTAAGATGTAAGGTTTTCTTCCCCTCAATTGCAAAACACTAATACATGAATTTATCAGTGAAACTATTTTCCACTTACGTTTGCTTGAGTCGTATGTTGCACCGAACAAAGAAGAGGTCCCTGAGCCGTTGATGCTCTAGGCAATTCCTGACATCATTTATTTGTTCAAAAAGAGCCTGATTCTGATTAAGTCCTTGTGAACTGCAAGTCTGACTAAGAATACGGACAGCCAAACGTGCCAAATTTGGACAACTTGCTCCATATGTTGACCACCATTCAGCTGTAACAAGTAAAGTACTAAAAGAGTTGGTCAAATGTAAATCTTTCAGGTGAAACAGTATTGATAACAATGCTTAATTGGTGAAAAAAGAATTCCACATTTCCACAATGCAGGCTAAACATTCAAGAAAGATAGTTTCTAAAGATGCAGAGAAGTGATGTAAAAATTTAACATGGATCCAAGGCTTATAAAAGGACTCTCACCAGGAAGCAGGGCCTCTCTAGCTCTAATTGCCATCTTCCTCCCAAAATCTCCAACAGCATTCTTGTATGAGTGTAGCTCCTTGACAATTTTATCTTGCACTCTTATATCAGGAACCAGTCTCTCTATGCAATCAAGCATCCCCGAGTGTATCTCTTTAGGCATGTCTCCTTCAAAGCTGTAAAAGAACTTTGGATTAAGGTAGAAGCCAGAAACATGGAGAGGATGCTTCCATAGCTGTTGCCACCAGCGGTCAATGATTTCCCAGTAGATCATGTAAGCATCCCTCTTAACTAATTCTTTCTTAATTGTTTCTTTTGCTCGATACATGGCAGCATAGACATATCCCATTGCTGGCTGCTTCTTACTGCAAACTATTCCTAGAACTCGTAGAAGGGGATTTGTTAACTGGATAGCGAGAACACAGGAGGACCAAAATGCCTCATTACTCACAATATCCAACATTTCCAGTCCACCAGGTTTCTTTGAGTCTGGGCAGTCCACCCACTCCTGTGAAGTAACCATTGACTGCAAATTGTGTTTGAGATGAACTAACCTTCTCAGTGTTGTAAAGTTTGAAGCTGAGCGAGTAACAGCTGGCTCTACAACATCAATGCCAAAAGTATACCTTCTTACCATATTCAGAACTGCACTATGGTTGTAGACAAATCTTGTCATAGATCTTGCCTGATCAATTACTGTATCTATCCAATCAAGTTTTGTGAAATCCCTGAGTATCATATCCAGACAACAAGATGCACAAGGAGTCCAATACAGACTAGGGAAAGCATCTGCTAATCTTCTAGTGGCATTGACACATTGCTCCTCAATATTAGTTATTACTTGCATAACATTATTAACCCCAACTTCTTCCACCACTTGCTTAAGCTGTTCATACAAAGCATCTGAGGAACTTAAAAAACCAGATGCATCCGTGGATTTCAAAAACACTGTTCCTTCAGGACAATTAACCAAAAAGTTAAACATGACTTTGGTTTCTGTCTTTTGTTGGTCAACCAAAACAGAACAACCAGTCTTCACCCATGTTGCTGCTATTTTACCAACATCAGCCTTCACTTCTTCAACCGAATTCTTCAATATCCAACCTCGAAGATCATTTTGAGAGGGCATTGGAGACTTTGATGCTCCTGAGACAAGAGCATCAACCATTGGCTGGAAATAAACAGAGTTAACAGCATCCAAAGGTGCCCCAATATCAAACAGAAACCTCCCTATTGCCATATGTAACTGATTGTTCACTTCCTTTTCACCTGATCCAGTATTGTTAAGAGGAGCAACAACATCTGCACCAAACCCTGTATTGTTAAGAGGAACAGCACCTACACCAAACCCAACAGAGTTAAGAGGAGCAGCAGCATCTGCAACTAACAAGGTAGGATTGGCAGCAACAGCATTGGCATTGGTAAAAGAACTTTTCCTGCCCCTCTTCTTCCTATCCCCTGTAGCACTACTAGTCCCTTCTGGACTAACGAAGAAACCTGAAGCTGAACTAGTTTGAAGGTTATCTGCTGCTCCAATAAATTGCAGTTCAGTATTGGCATCAGACTCATTAGCAATCCTCATTTTCCCTTCCCCAATCTTTTGTGTCTTCCTCCTCTTAGGCGTAACCGAATCCAAATTTTCTTGCATTTGATCACGAACATCAGGTGGAACACTTGTACAAGGAGATGCATTACTCGATTTTATAGTAGCTAAATGTTCCTTAATCCTATGAATTCCACCACCCCTGAACACTTTGCTACAATAAACACACTTGAGTTGCACCTTCTCCCCATCCTTAAAAACATGACAATGTTTCCATGCTGGGTCCTGTTTTCGCGATTTTATCGGTGCAGGCTCAAAACGAGATGGAGATGCCATGATCCTACCACACCCCACCCAAAAAAAAAAAACCAATCAACTTTGCATGAGCAGAAAAAATTGACCTTTACACCACAAAACAATTGCATTAACCAAGAAAAAATTCATATTGCTGGGACAAAAACACAAGATAATATTGAATACCCAGAAAAGAACAAGAACAATCAAGCATGTTTACATTAAACTAAACAAGATCAATTGATGTAAGAAGAAAGACAGAAACCGAAGGAGAAAAGGAGCTTACTTGGGGACTGGTTATGAGCGGCTGCTAAGGTTTGAAGAAAACCGGATTGAAGCTGTTGAAGGGCGAGGGAGACCAGAAGGACCAGACGACCATTTAGGGCAAGGTTTTAGCCGATTGGTTAAGCTATTTATAGCTCGGACCTTGGAGTTTTGCGGGTTCTCGGGTCACGTTGGAAATGGGCTGGATTTGGTATACCAGACAGATGAGAGTTGACTTCTAGGAAAGGCACCATCTGGCCCGGCCGGTGACCGGATTAATTCCTCATTGCTTTCCCATCATTTGCATAGTTTTCTTAGGAAACAAACAGAGGATTGGGTTACAAAGAAATTGTTTTTCAAAGCATAGCATATCTTCCAATTTCATGGATCCAATTTGAAGGATAATTTGCCAAAGACTTAAGTAGTTTAGTGCTTATAGGAGCTCTTAAGTTTGAGTCACATGATATACAAGTGGGGTGGAATAAAGCGTAACATATCTTTCAATTTCATGGATCCAATTTGAAAGATAATTTGTCAATGACTTAAATAACTCAGTGATTATAAGAGATCTTGACTTTGAGTAGCATGACATACGAGTGGGGTAAGATAAAAGATTAAAGATACTTACCTCTCATTATACAATAAAAAAAAAGAAGATAATCCATTATTATTGGGCTTTTCTTCATATTCAGTAAAACTTTAATTGAAGGTCAAATTTTGCAATTCAAACTTCTCTAATGCTAAGTAATTAACTATCGTTTTGTTGTTGGTAGAAAGACTAATTCTTAATAACTATTCTGTGGATGTATCATGCTGTTTCTATAATTTGGCCATAATGCAGAAAGTAATTCCAAAAGAACATTTCAGAAGCCTAATTTGGTGGGCTATGCCTTCCTTTCACTCTTTTATATTAACTGCAGCTTCCCCATTTTGAGACCGCGGTCAGCTAACATTATTCTTGCTGTCTTCGGCTTAGTTTGGAAGTTGCTGACCTGTAGCTTCAGTGATTGACCTTTTAATCTTTTAATCTCTTAAAAATATATAAAATATATTAAATATTTATTTTGATTAATATTATATATATTTTTTTTGAACATGAGAGAATTTGAGAGAGTGGATTTTTTTTTTTCAAATCATTAGTAAGAGTTGAATTTCAGATCAACTACATCCAAACATTTAAGGTTTGAGAATAAATTATTAGATTTGAAGGTTCAGTTCATTAATATTTCATATATTTTTAAACAATAAAAAGACATAAGAATCAAATATTAAAGTATTGAGAAATATTTTCAAATGAAACCTTAAAATCATCTCCTTTGAGCTTTCAGCATCAGTTATGTCACAACTTTGTAATTGCACTGTAGAGTTTGGCTAGTCTGCCCCATGAAAGCTTCATCCAATAGTCAAGCTTCTTGGATTTGCTGGCATCTGGATCAGATTAAGAGCTCTGCTGAATTCAAACAACCAAGTCACCCCCCTTTACAAGCCATGAAAATCAACTCCTAGGTTAGTTTTGAACTTAAAAGGTGAAATTTGAACTATTAAATCCCAGTCAAAATAACATTCATGCCGGCCTGCTGCGTTGTTGAACCCTACTCACTCAGCCTCAGATTGTCCAGCTCCGTATGAAAAATAAGAGCAGGCAATTACTTGATCAAAAAACAATGGCATCATACAAAACAAGGTAAATGTGCTTCAAAAATCGGAGACAGCATCAATACCAGTCAAGAAAAGCAAGTAGTCAAGTTGCTGGCGCTGCGTGGAAACTTAAGAACGAACATGTTCTGCCGCCACAAGGCTTGATGACCTTGGCATACGACTGAAACAATGACCAAGGTGATTGTTGAAGCATGATTTATCATAGGTGAATCCAGATGTTTCTTCCTCCTTTATCCTTCAACTGCAATCTATTAGCTTGATTATTATCAGGACTATTGCCCTCCCAAATTTTCAGGATAAGAAATAAAAATTGTAGTAAAAGCATACAAAGCTTTCTCTTTGAATTCTGAGAAGAGATGAAACATACAAGATATTTATTAGGCCAAACCCGCTTATTTACCCCTTAGACGTTTTTTCTTTCCACGATCAACATTTTAAACTAAAAAACAACACTCTCCATAATTAAAAAACAGTAAACAACTCAAAAGTTAACAGAGATGTCACGTGCAAGTCACGTGTCTATTAAAACTCATTAAGTGTGACTCAATTTTATCTATCTGATTATTACATGGATAAAATGTAATGACTTGGCAAAATTGTTAATGACATTGCATGATGTGGTGTCCACATCATTAAAAAAAAAAAGTCAACTTTGCTCCAATCCATCTTTCTCCCCCAAATGAAGAAATGAAGATCTAGGGTTTGTAGAGGAATGGGCTCTAGCATCTGGATCACTTCCATTTAGCTCTAACCCACCTTTTTAGATTCTTCTCATTGACAATCGAACCCATACCCTACTCCGCTCTCAGCCTCACCAGCCTTTGTAAATCTCTTTGAAAGACTTCCCTTTCCTTTATTCATTATCCTTGGGTTCTTCAATTTTGGATGATTACATTTTTTTTCTTCTATTTGATAATGATTTTTCAAAAATTGAATCAAATCATGAATTTTATTTTGGGGTGAAAGTGCTAGAGACGGTGAAGAGGATGGCTTTCTTACCAAAGGTGATAGTGAAATTGTGGTAGTTTGGAGCTCACCAACGAAGTCGAAGTAGGAGAGGGTTGCATCCGAAAACTTGTCTTTGATGAATAATATGGCATTAAATGGGGGTGGTTCTTGTGGAGAAAGAAAGAGAAGTGGGTCTTGAGTGCTGACAACAGTGACGAAGCTTGAGGGGGACAAAGGCGAGCGAGAACTTAGAAGCAAGGGATTTTAGGGTAGTTCTATTGGTGGTGCTGGTGGTGGTTGTGAAGGAAATAGAGATAGGTTACAGAAGTCTTTAGATTGTGAATGAAGCTTCCATTGC